AATTCCTCGGAGCACTATGGGGCAAAGCAGTAAGAGCAGCCACAATCATTCTCAACCTCCGCTCCTCCGAGGCCAATCCAGACAAGACTCCCGACAAAATGTTCTTTGGTAAGAAACCTACCGTATCAAACCTCCAAATTTTTGGCTCATTGGTCTACGTTCACACACTCTCTGTCAACAGATCGAAGCTCAACTCACGATCCAAACGGTGCGTCCTACTAAGCTATGATTCCAAATTGAAGGGATACCGATGCTACTCTCTGATCGGGAAACAGGTTCTAATTTCAGGGGACGTAAGAATTTTGGAGATGGAACAACCAGAATTTCCTTCAACGTCAACAGTCGAACCGATTCTCCAGCAAAACTCTCCCTCACCAAGCAGAAAAACGGACACACTCTTAACTCACCTCGCATCATCACAGCCCAAGAGCAAATTCTGCTCTTCATCGCCAATCACTTAAGGCGCGATGGTCATCCCTACACCTCAACCTCCGAGTCCTCCCACAGATCCAGCGTCCCCCAATCTGCCTAGCTCATCACTTCGACTGCTTGAACCCGATATCACCACTCCTCTTGATTTCTTGCCACCACCGCTGAGACGCTCCCGTAGATCCCAACGGCACCCTGCGCACCTCAAGGACTTCATCGCCTCCGCAGAAATCTTTGTTGAACTAATAGAAGGCGGCCAAGACATTTCTTTTCACTAGACTTCCAGCTATCCGAATTGGTGCCGCGCCATGCAGTCCAAATTCGACTCTTCAAGAGAACAATACGTGGTCTTTCATTGACTTACCCCTGAGAAAGACCTTGATCAGCGCTAACTAGATCTTCAAATTAAAACTAGGGCTTGCTGGAAAACCCATCCAACACAAGGCTTGCTTAGTCACGCATGGCTTCCAACGACGCCACGGCATTGATTATCAAGACAAGTTTGCCCCTGTCATCTGCTGGGAGACCATCCCCACCATAACCACAATCGCCACGAACAACCGTTGGCTCATCCATCAAATGGATATGCAAACGGCCTTTCTCAGTAGCCACCTCACCGAAGAGGTCTACTTACAACAACCCAAGGGCTTCTTATTTCCTGGCCAGGCACACAAGGTACGCCGACTCCATCGCTCCCTCTACGGACTCAAACAGAGCCCGCAAGCATGGTACTCTCGGATTGACCAATACCTCCGCACCCAGGGTCTCCAACGCTCCTTTGCGGATCACAACTTGTACTACCGACGCAACGATGAGGGCACAGTTATCATACTCCTATACGTCGACGACCTCAAATTCATCTGCAGCTGTGACTCACTCATTTTGATCTCAAACACCTCCTGCAACAAGAATTCAGAATGACCGATATTGGGCACATAAAAAGGTTCCTCCGCGTTGAGTACACGCACACTTCCACCGGACTACTTCTACATCAAACCGAGTACTCCCTCGATCAGGCGACACAACTCCGTGGCTTGAGATTTGGAGTGCTGCCCTTGTTGGATGATGTTGTAGAACTCTTGAGTCTCACTACCAGCGCCGCTGGTTGCTGTCTTCGAGTATGAACGAGAGACCAGACGAGGCGTCATCGTGAAAAAACTCGAAGAAACTGATCTTACTATCTGCCTCCATATACACACATATTGTCTCGTCAGCGCTTATATCCCCACATTAGCCTGCCTTATTTCACAACCATCTATTGCATTGTACCCTCTAAAAAAATTCTGCGGTGAACTAGTGTAGTGTTCTAGCTGTTGTGGGCCTCCATAAAACCAAGGGGATTGATTTATCATACGCACCATAGATCAACTAGATTCGGAATACCATACTCAACGCCCTCCACTCCTTCCCGTGGGTACACATTCGCACTTGAATCACCGCATTCTCTCCATCTTCATTATCGTCACAAACCTCGATGTTAACAATCCGCCCGCTTGAATCCAACTCCCGCATCAAGCCCCTAATCGACGTCTAATCCTAATTGTACAAGTTCCATCTCATGGATCGTCAGTTACCATGAAAATTATCGCAAACGAGTTATTCTCCAGAAAAAAGGCTTTGCCGATGGTGGTCCCATTTTGTTTCACGTCCGAAGCGCCCATCATCTGTTTGGTCTTCAAATCCCAGCTTCAGCTTCATTCTCTCTAGCACTACTCTTCACCCATGTCTTGGATGCATCGCTTCACGTAAAACAGCACACAAAACTGCGGCTTCAACCATAGTAATCCTGATCTTACTCTCGATCTTTTGCCACAACAATCGGAAGCTGGGGGTGTGATCTAGTTGTGCCTTGTCTGATTCTGTAGTGCCTCTTGTGGAACTCATTCGGTAAGTGTGAGCTTCTGGGTTTAGCTGTGAACATGAGGTTATCACACTGAGTTTTTTGAAACATGTTCATGCTCCTTCTAGCTTCAAGTTCTACATTGAAATTTATGAGACTTCAAACAATTTACAGAATTTCCTCTTTATGAAAGATAATTTATATTTTTTATGAGTGCGTCAAAATTCAAATACACTTGATCCAACCAAATTAACATTGTATTGTCTTATAATTGCCTGAATTTTTTCACATTATCTTGAGTTTTGTTAATTTTTTTACTTTTAACTTAGAGAATTGTGTATGTTTTTTTTTTTTTTTTTTTTTTTTTTCTCCTTAAATCCATTCACGAAAATTTTCAATAGGGGTTAGAAATAAATAATAATATGTAAATAAAAAATCTTCCTAGATAAATCTTAAGATTTTGAACTTATTATTTTATTTCAAATAGAGGTCTCAAGCTATGTAAGATACATGTGCCATGTCCTCACTTGCCTTTCCAAGTTTGAGAATCTGACATTTTTTAATGAAAATAAAGTATTATCCTGCACATATTCAAAAAACTTTCATTTTGAAATCCTCAAGAAAAGGTGCTCTTTCCAATATTTTTTTTGTAAATATATTTTTTTGATATATGAACGTGCATATTCTTTATTTTTATTTTTCTGGTTCTGCAACTCCAAGTCATATCTTCAATGCTCGATCAATTTTGTAAGGGCTCTTTGCAACCCACTAAAGTTTGGTACTGAGCACATAAACTGATCAAATGGTAGACAACAATCACTTCCCAGATTGTATAAAAAAATTGAACTATTTCATGCACAGGATTGTTTAGTTGACCAATCCATTACAACATTCAACGGACTAACTTTGCAAATGAAATTGACGATACTCTGATGTGGATTTCTACAGCCTCCTGCTTGTGGTGAGGGACTTCTTTGGGAGCCCTAATTTCCAAGAAATGTAGAGTTTTGTACAAGTCTACACTATCAATCTTAGGCTATCAGATAAATCAGCTCAAGGATCCAAAGTTTAGGCAGCTCCTCTACAATGCATATTTGAGAGTGGGTTTGCAACGTGGTTTCTGTACATACTTCGAAGGAATTTTGTTGTCCAAGCAGCGATGACGTAGTCCTCTTCGTGGAGACTCTACTGAACACGAGAAACGTTTGATCACAGCTTGTGTGTCAATCTAGTCGTATCTGAGCACTGCAACCATCTTTACATATTCATCGACATTTTGGGTAAGTCCTGCACTCTGTCTGTATATATGAGTAAATAAATCCTACACTTACCTTACGAAGACAATCTACCGAGAGTCTTGAACACCTAAAGCCCTGATCCTCGAGTCCATGGCGTGAGGAACTGCTGGGACCGCTGTCATGACCGACAACTCTGCTGATTTGCATCACACCGTTCTGCACCAGAAGCTAGTACTGGTTGACATTGTTGACGACGTGCACTGTGCATCGTGACTGATCCTTGCTGCCGCTTGTCGTGGGTAGTTCAAAGCTCTGATTATGAATGTAGACGAATCGTCGCTCTCAGTTGGATCCCACGCTGAGTGAAGTATCGGTAGTTTCATCAAAGGTTGAATTCATTCATAATCTACATGCTAGATCAGTATAAGTCGTCATGATATTTTGAGATTCAGAATCATGCTTTTTAATCTAACGCGTTGGTGGTATTATCCCGTCAAATCGTCCATGTACTCATGTCCAATTCATGTGCTTTTTGGAAGCTAAAGTAATTTGAGGCCTTTGGAAAGTCACGTTTTCGTGATTTTTCAGATTCTTCGGGTATTAGAGACAATTAAAACTGTTTAGGATTAAATATCTGTCACGTTGTGTACGAGAAAAATTCGATGATTCTGCTTATGAAACGGCCCCTGCCTGGTCCTTGCAACACTGGTTTGGTCCTTCGAGTGCGTATTGAGATACATGAAAACTTCGTGAAACTTCAAGTGACACAATGAACTTTAAGGATATCATTGGTGGTTTCATCCACGGCTTGAGATAAGTTCGCAGCCGCGAAACGTATGGTGTAAGATCCTAGCGAGGAAATCAGGGCTTTGGTATATGCATAATAATTGCACCATAAGAACCAGCTGCACCTCCAATTAATATCGCGGACATCACTGACGTTGCCGGTCCTGCTCGGTACTCTTCGTCCATGATAGGTGGGGCATCTGGACATTAATTATGATGACTTGATACAATCTCTTCTACCGCACAGAGGAAGCCCAAGAATCTTTAGTAGCAATTACCATGCCGTGGCAGGAATACTGCTCACTTCCATTCTAATTTCAGTCCAAGCGAATTGAGCCCAAGCTCACACAAGAATGCTGTTGGTGGATGAAGTAAAGCTTACGTTATTCACTTTTGTTTCGTAACCTTGTCTTCCAACATTCTCCCCACCTTGAAAATCAATGGCAGCGATGACCCTCATGCGGACGAAGTGTATCCATTGACGACCAGTCTAGATAAGACCAATTCTGTGGGAATCAGTGACTGGGAATCAACCTAATGTACAAGAAAAATTATTCTAATACGTTACTCTCATCAGTCTTTCGCACTCGTTAGAAAAAGATTTGCAATTCGGTATTTCAATTTTACTCTCTAGCAACAGACGTGGTACGTCCATGACCACAAGCATTTGCCACCTGCCAATTTTCAAGATCCATAGGTCTGCTCTCTTGTACAAATATATAATGAGCATTTACATAAACGAAAACATTATAATGACATCATCTTTATTAGAGTCTATTATAGTGCACAACGAATTCTAACTAGAACCAACTATGAGCTTCAGTCAGCATGGCTGGGTAGTTGAGCGTAACTCCACAATGGTGTGTTGCCAACCGTGACCACGGAAACCATGCAACCTCCATAATTCCACGACAAACAATGTCCACCAAGAATTTGCTTTTATACGTCCTTCAATATGCTAAGCAATATCCCAGAAATTCACATAAATCACGGTCATTAGAAGCCTTCGGGAAGTGTCAGGAAGCAAGACACGTTCATTGACTGCATTCCTGAGCCGCTGAATGTGTCCGTCATATGAAAGAGTACTGAAAGGTAACTCCCAAAATACAATGATGCTTGATAATGTCCAAGCTCATTGGCCATTCCGACCCTGTTTGAAAATGATGTGCACTTAAACACCTGGATTTATCGTCTTGTAGCTTGCAGTGAACAACGAACAGGAAAACCAGGTCAAACAAACAACCAACGAATCGACCCCCACACCGATTTGACCGTCGTCTCTGACCCCATGGACAGGATGTTTGCAAATGTGGCTTCAAGCTTGGACGATGCCTTGTTGAGCTCATGAGGTCGACAATGGCGCCTGGCGACTGGAAATCAGCTTCTTCCATATCACTATACGACTTAACCATATGAACTCATATATAAATCCAAAGCATATAAATCGGATCATGATTTATGGCACTTCTTGGTGATTAGCTGCCCTACGCGCCCTGACGTCGGTGTTGTAGTTGTCACCTCACACGTTGTCTTCCTCCCAAACCCGAAAGATTTGTAGTCTCCAATCTTGACCCTTGCCCTCACGTCCACATGAATTTCAAAATCAATCCTGCCACTCTGAATGTTCCCCTGGATCGCATTCGCAAGAATGTATGTCACCGGCACGCTCATAGCCTTAATTTCAGTCTCCACAATGGTGGTGTTATGTTTATCTTGAGTGAAGCCCAGGAACGATGCTCGGCTGAAAACTGACGTGGCGTAAGCCACCCGCACTTCAATCCTGTCGTAAATAATCTCCATATGTTTGTTGCGATTGTTGGATCGGAGAGTGAGTACTAGGTCTGCGTTCAAAAGATATGAAGTAAGGCCCCACTGCTTTGCACCCACAACTTCCATTAGACGACGTCGGTGTGATGAGGATTGAATATTGAGCGTCAATACTTGCACGTCCTCCACGACCCAGGAGGGAGAATGAACTGGTCGGAGCACAAGCCACGTGATGAAGGTGATCAAGCCTAGAAGAATGAGGGCAACCACGAGGATTGTCCCAGCGAGGATGAGGAACCGCTTGACTGCATGTTTCCGTCGGTGTCGCTTCTCGTCATATATCGGATTCACCTGACATTCTCCCCCCATTACTTGTAAAAAAGCTCTACAGATAGAAGCCTACCACCGAAATCCAAAAAACGTCCTCGAAAAGCGCTCAGTCCAGCAGGACTGGAACCAAATCGCCAGAAGCGCAGATCACCACGATAGATATCGAAACGCTACTGGACCAAGTATTGGAAACCTGCAGAAGAGAATAAACTGCAAGTGGATAGCGACACACACAATTGGAGAGATCTATAGTCTTCTCGAACTAGATTTCTACAATGCTGCATAAATCACAACAACAACACAAAGTGTGTAACCCAAATAAACACGAGCCCATGTGCATGTGTCAGCGGAGCACGCAGCGAAGGCTTTCTTCACAACGAAGGCAGTTTTACTCATGCGACAAATGACGGTGAGGGAGACGACCCTTACGAATGGATGAATGAATAAGTAGATGAACGGATGGATGGATGGATGAATGCGTTTGAACATTCATAAATAGACATGTGGGGAGAATGAATTCAATGTGTATAAAGATTCTTTTATTATTTTGATTATTAATATTATTTATGCATATTTACATTCATAAATGCTCACATTCTCAATACACAATGGAGGCTCTACCTTTGAAGGGAATGAGAGCTATGGCAAGCCAACTTGCTATGAAGCACAGAACCCACCATTCTGAACGTCCCATTTAACTATTTTGTTTTAGGGTTAATGGGGTACAACTTCACTTTTCTTGTGTGACACCAGATCTCTAGGGCACACAGGACAGAGAATAAGGTCAAAACTGCTGCTGCAATGGTAGTGGGATGAATGAATGAATTGAGTCTGCAATAATGTGTTGATGTGGGTGGTGTTGTCAATGTACAACAAGCAAGCCCCATTTAGTACAAGCAAGGGTACATTTTCAGACAGATAGAAACTGTTCTGTTACGGATCCCATTAGACATGTGAGGTTGAGTGGTAGTGAATCCTAAGGAAGGGACTACTGGTAAATTGTAGGAGGAGAAAGGGAGGTGGGGTTGCTTGTGACCATACATAGTTTTAGAAGCTTAGTTCCGGGCATGTAGTGGGTTACTTCTTACTGTGTACAAGTGAGAGGAACCAAAGCACAACAGGGACAACTGATGTGGAAACCTATCCTACTTGTTATTATCAAGAATTCTGTAACCCATTTTTTTTTTTTTTTTTTATTTATTTATTTATTTATTTATTTATTTTGTATTAGGCAAAAGACATGTTAACTTGCAATAGTAGTGGTCATTAGAAAAGAGGAATGGAGTGGGAGAGAATTGCATGAAAAGAAAATGTGGCCCACCCGCTCTCTATTGTGGATTTGGCATCATTAATGCTGCGGTTGTTAGACCTTGAAGTCTATTAAACATTAAGAATTCTAGTGTAGTCATGCACAAGCAGCCAAGTATGGATTCTCTGCAACCCAACTTTTGCACTACCTTTAGAAAAATAATCTATTCTCCAGTATTAAAAAAAGATGATAAAATTGCTCGTCTATGTTCTAACATGTACGGCTCACCTAAATAGTGGCATCTTTTTGAACAGAATAAGCATCTCCGTTCTACTCATTTCATACTCTATAATTTCTTCTTTGTAAGAATGAATACCAATAGACTCCACCTTCAATAGTTTCATAAATTTGAGAAGAAGAAATTGATTAATCATGAACTGTAGAAATGATTAAATATATCTATATATATATATATATATATAAATATACATATTAAATTGTGGAATATTGGTATCACTAAAAAAAAAATTGATTTCCTTATCTTCATTTGTCTTAAGTTCAAAATTAATTTCAATTTCATAGAACTGGAATAGAATAAAATCTAAAATTAAATAAATATAGAATATATTCTACATATAGTTATCTATATATATATACACATACATACATACATACATACATACATACATACAAATGAAACATGTAGAAATTTTATTACAATTTTATTTACAATGATCAATTATATGCATTTAATCTATGAAGTATAAAAATTATCTTAATTAGTATGATCAACAACATATAATACTTTAAAGCAATAGATATTGTTAATTATACATTAACAACACTTTTGATTCAAAAAATGCAATAATATGCTCTAATAAAATTTTATTAATCTTCTTTAAAAATAAGTTACTAAAAGATAATATAGTATTGAATTAGAATGGCTATTGCGAAAAATAAGAAGACTAGAAAGTCTTAAAATAAGACTAAAAACTAAAAAGACATTGACAAGAGTGAAGAAGGCTTCACTCTTGCCTCCATATATATTCTTAATTAGGAGCTATCTGGCAATGTCTTATAGGACCTCTAAAACATGTTGACTTTGCAAGACATGTATCTTAACTTGTAAAGAAAGTTTTCTATATATATTCCATATAAATAGCTTGTTTTACAAGCTATCAATACATGATTAACATATTGATCAAGTTTCTAATCTACTAATCAAAGCAACATCTATAAAGCTTCTAAGACGCTTCTCTAGAAGGTATTATGAAATTAACCTACTTTTATCTATTTTTATCTATTTCTATCTAATGATATAGGTATTTATTAGAGTACCTATATATATCCATGATATTACCCTCTTTCTAAAAATGAGTCCTACAAAGAGCAATCTTCATATATTAAAGAAATCCAAGATATAATGAATTGTATTTTCCACATATTTTGATCTTTTTTCTCTTTGAAGATTGTTGATAGATCTTCTCAACCATCAATAGTATCCCATACAAGAATAAGAAGAGGACCCTGCTATTTGATTATTGTTGAGGTCTATCTAATATTCTTCAAATAAAAGATTTGAAATATCATCAAAAATTATTCTTATCTCTAATAAAATCACCAAACATTGGGAGTCTCTTCTAATATTGTGATACCAAATACGTTGTATCTTGCTAACTATTCAAGGAAAGACATATTGTTCTTGAGAATCTTTATCTCGATTTTATTGTCTTGAAGGTTGTGACAATCACAATGTCTCATTTAGTAAGTTCGTAAATAAAAGTTCTTGATTTGAATCTATTGGTTATTGGTTCTCCATTTCTTTAGCATCACAAATATATAAAAGCTACAAAAAAGAATAGAAAGATAGATTATTATCTTCTTTTGATCTTGTTTCTATTATAACAAAGATTTGTTATTCTTCATCTTGGTTTTGATAAATGTTGTCAATAAAAAGCTTCAACTCTCTTTACTCCATTTGCAAGATTCTTTGCTAGTTCTCATGCACATTTATTAATATCATATCCATGCCAATAAACAAGATATTCCAATATATTTTGGTATTTCTTTGAATCTAAGACTTCTTACATCTTGAACTCTTGATTATTATCTACTTTTATAAGAAGAGGTGGTATTTTTCTTCTTCTTAAGATATTCACTTTCTTATATAGTTTAAGTAAAGGATATGTGAAATATGAGGTGAATCTTTATAGACTCTAGTAGATATAGTCAATAAGCAAAATAATTCACTTATTTGCTAATAAGAAAAGATCCAAGCCTATGATAGTCCAACTTATTACAAAAATGAGTAGTCTTCATATTGTGAAAAAATAACCATACTTTATCGCCTATGTTAAATTATAGTTGTTCTTTGCGATAGGTATCTATATTAATCTTTTTTCATTCTTGAGCTCCCTTTAACTGTGCCTTTATTTTTACATATAGCTTTAATAAATAATTTTCCAAATCTTTTGCTATAAGATTATCAACTTTTAAAAAGTCATAAGTATCAAGTCATCGATGATAACCATAATTGGTAAAAAAATTTATTTATTAAGTAGAAGAATGTATCAAATTATTGTATGCAAACTATGCTAATGATGAAAGAATTGTCCAATCATCTTGATGATAGTTGATGGTATATCTCAAGTACCGCCCCAAAACTTGATTCATCCATTTTGTTTGCCTATTAGTATGAAGATGAAAAGAAAGTTTTATATCCACGTTTAAAATCTTAAAAAGTATTTTCTAAAATCTTGATATAAATTGAATTCCTCTATTTGATATAATATCTTTAGGTAATCTATGATAACAATAGATGTTGTTAAGAAAAAGGTGAATCATTTCTTTACTTGTGATATATTTTGTACATAGTACAAAATATGCCATCTTGGTAAAATAATCTACTATCAAAAACATAGAATCATACAATCCTAGGATTAAAAGATCCATGATGAAATCCATAGAAACAAAAGACCATGGTTGTTTTGGAATAGATAATGGTTGAAAAAGTTCATAAGCTTGATAGCGATGAGTTTTAGATCTTGAACAAATATTATATGATTGTACAAAGTCTTTGACTACCTTTCATATTTGAAGCCACCAAAAATCTCTTGATATTAGCTCCAAAGTCTAGTTATATCCAAAATATCTGATTGTTGGAAAGTCATGACAAGTTTGAAGAATACTTAATCGTGCCCCACTTTTTGAAATATATAATTGTCCTTTGAAATAGAGTAAGTTATTCTTAAACTTGAACTTGGAAGTATTACGAGACTTAGAAGAATTATTCTTGATATCATGGACAAGAAGATCAAAGGACATAATTTATTGAATTTTTTTGATAAAGATTGAATCAACAGTCAATGCTGATTTATTGCTTAAAGGTGAAAATTCTCCGACTTCAAGAAAATTATTTTTTGTTGACCAAAAGATACATCTTTTTCTTTTGGTACAAGATTAGAATGTTTAGAAAGGATATCTGATAAATCTTGTTGTTTTTTGAATCAATAAGTGAACTTGAAATCAAATCTTCATAAAGACATGCTCCAACATGAAATACTTGAGATTCTTGTGATTTGTATATATGATAACTAGACTTGAGGTGCCTTCCAAATAATGATGCCATTCTTGAAAAGAATCTATAATTGTAAAGAGCTCTTTGTTGTGGATCTCATAATTAATCTTGATTTTTAAAAATTTTCTGGAATGAAAAGCTATTGGAAGGAGTTTGTCATCTACTTCTATTTGTAATAATATAGCATTCAAGGCAAAATCTGATGCATTTGTTTTCATAAAAAATACCTTAAAAAAGTCAACATGATATGTAATTGATGCAGTAACAAATTCCTTTTTTAAAGCATCAAACAATGCTTTGACTTCTTTATTCTACTCAAGTTTATCTTTATAAGTCAAACATGTAAATAAAACTACAACTTGAAAAAAATTCCAACTCAATGTAGGCTTGATAATAATTGACAAAGTCTAAAAAATATTATACATTTTTTTTATTATTTTTGAAATCTTCCAATCTATAATAGTCTAGATCTTTTTTGGATCTATCATTAGCCCTTCATTGAAATTAATGTATCTTAAGAAGTCAACTTGACTAATGTAGAATATATACTTTTTTAAC